AATGGCACGCTGGATTATCAGAAAGGTTAAATTCCATCTGGTTTCATTATTTTACATTAGCTTAAGGTCGATAGCAGCTTGCTCCTCTTTAAAGAGTTAATAGCCGTCTTTGTCGTTCTGGTTATAAGCCAGGGATTTTATTAGCTCTCTCCGTTGCAGGGAAGCCCTGATAAACCGGATGATGTTATACAGCTTGCCTACCGCTCCCCGTTTCCGCCAGAGCCAAAGCTTATGCTCTTTAACTTGGAAAGCCGCCTCAGTGAAGGCTTCTCGCTTAAACGAGTCAGGATCTTCTCCCTAGAGAAAGGCTTAAGCTGCAAGGTTAAGAATATGCCCAAAGCATCTTGTTTAATGATTTCTAATATCTTCTTCTGCCATTGCAGGATAAAATTGACGATAGAGGCTTACTAAGTATATATCATTAGACGAGGCGTTATTGCAGATACCTACGCCAGTCCTATCTCATATCCCATACTTACCCAAGATATTATATATTGTTACTGCTTGGTTATCTCTGGAATAAGATCCCTATATATGGCGCAGAGCAAGGAGTCGCGACTGGACTTGATAGGAGGCGTCGAGATAGTGGGCGTGGAGGCCAAGGAAAGCATACCAGTTTAGAGAAGTCTATAGGTCAAAGCTAAAGCTAATCCTTGTAACTGCCTTCTGTAATTGACTTGATATTACTTCCTTTTTTACCTTAAATAATTTCCATATAGTATCACATACTAACTGCTAACTCTATGGTACCTCTTTTGCTAATAATATATTATATAAATTAAGTATTCGGCGCAAATACGGATTTAATGGCGCTGTAAATAGAAGATTGGCAGTAATAATCTAGCCAACTATCAACTTCTTTGCTTTATTAATATTCGATCTTGCAGTAGGAGACTCTAAGTAATGCCGCTTCGAGGGTAGGTGAATATTAGCGCGAGATGAATATAAATCTGTATCCATATTGTTATCTGCCTCGGTGATTATATAAGACCTATATCTCGTAAGATAATAGAAAAGTAATAAAGATCAGGCTTATATAGATATTATTTACCTTTGGAGGTGCTTAATTGGCAATATTGTATTTATGGCGATGAATAATAAGCTCTTGCCTTATTTATTACATTTTAAGCATACCCAGTAGGTCTATAATATCTGCAAATCAGGGCTGACTTCTATAAGAAAGAAGCCATAGGCTTGGATCTAGCTCCTCTGACCTTTGTGATTCTTATTGGCAATATATTCTTCTAGTATATATTTCTTACAGCTGATCTGGACAGTTAGGAGGTCGGCGAGGGTCATTCTTCCAGCTTTAGTCTTGATAGATGCAGCATCAAGCTGCTGCTTAAGTGATTTGCAATAGCCACTAATTCCCAGAAGCGATTCTAATAACTATTATTATGCTGCTATAGCGGGTTACCGGCAAATCGCAGAATACAGATACTTCTTATCAGGGAGCAACATTAATTCTAAACCAGGTGTTTCCAGCATGCAAGCAAATATAAAACACGTAGTTGCGCTACCCCTGCCGCGTTCCTGGGTTCCATTAGTGTAATCAACTGGGGTACCACACTCAATTGATTACCCTATGCCTGGGACTCCGAACAGCCTCGAAACTCACAGGGCTGTCGCATAGGAAAATCCATAAAATCTAGTATTTCAAGTAAATCAAGTTTAAAGCATTATGAACTTGCTTACTTGAAATAAACTGGTTCGTCGACTTACTTGACTTACTTGAAATACTTGACTTGATACTTGAATTGAGGTCAGCGCTGGGACGTACACGTTCTGGAGGAACCTGGCAAGGGCCCGGCGTCGGGCCGGTCAACGGATTGACAGCCTGGAAGATCGAGCCAAAGAAACGGGTAAAGAGTACCATGATGCTATCAAAAGACAGAAGAAGACGCACTGGGACGACTTTCTCGCCGATGGGACCAACATCTGGCAGGCCGCCAAGTACCTCAAACCCGGACATGATGCGAACGGCGATAAGGTGCCTCCGCTGAAGAGAACTGATGGAACAACGACGCAGGACAAAGTCGAACAGGCGGAGGAACTGCTCAACGTCTTCCTCCCGCCGCTGCCAACAGACATAGAAGAAGAAGGCCCGCGACCACGGCGCAGAGAAGTGGCCATGCCGAACCTCACGATGGAGGAGGTGGAGGAGAAGGTGATGGAAGCCAAGGCGTGGAAGGCGCCCGGTCAAGACGGACTGCCAGCCATGGTATGGAAGCAGCTGTGGCCGGTGGTGAAGGAACGGGTCCTGCATCTGTTTCGGACATCACTGGATACAGGGCGATTGCCTAGCCAGTGGAGGACGGCCAAAATCATCCCACTCAAGAAACCGAACAAAGGCGACTATAAGATAGCCAAGGCATGGAGACCGATCTCGCTTCTATCGACGCTGGGCAAGATCCTGGAAACAGTAGTGGCGGACCGTATATCGCACGCCGCCGAGACGTACGGACTCTTACCCACCAATCACTTTGGTGCGAGAAAGAGGCGATCGGCAGAGCAGGCTCTACTGCTCTTCCAGGAACAGGTCTACAAAGCATGGCGCAATCGCAAAGTGGTCAGTCTGGTCAGCTTCGACGTCAAAGGAGCTTACAACGGCGTGTTCAAGGACAGGTTGCTGCAGAGACTCGAGGCGCGTGGTATACCCAAGGGGCTGATCAGGTGGATCGATGCCTTCTGCTCATACCGCACGGCTACCATCACGGTGAATGGCTACACATCAGCGCTACGGGAACTGCCACAAGCTGGCCTCCCGCAAGGGTCACCACTATCGCCGATACTGTTCCTGTTCTTCAATGCAGACTTAGTGCAGAGCAGGATAGACTCGAACGGAGGCTCGATTGCGTTTGTCGACGACTACTCAACCTGGGTCACAGGTCCGACGGCCGAAGACAACAGAGAGGGCATTCAGGCCATCATCGACCGTGCACTGGACTGGGAAAGACGCAGCGGAGCGACATTTGAGGGCGACAAGACGACCATCGTGCACTTTACCCGCGTCATCGACCGTACCAGCCGCATACCGTTCACGATCAAGGGAGATGTGATCAAGCCGAAGCGGAAGGCCAAGATCCTGGGCGTCATCATGGATGCAGGACTAGGATTCAAGAAACACATGGCTGAAGCGGCCACCAGAGGTCTCACGGCGGCCATGTGCCTGAGAAGACTGAGGATGCTATCTCCACGCACGGCTAGGCAGCTGTTTACGGCGACCGTCGCTCCGGCGATGGACTACGCTTCGGTCGTGTGGTCGCATGCACGAAACGAAAGAGCACTGAGCTGGTTCAACAGGGCTCAGAAGATAGGAGCACGAGCCATCACGGGTGCTTTCCGGACAGTCGCGACAGCAGTGATGGAGGCAGAAGCCAACATGCAGACGGTATGCGAGCGACATGCTCAAGCAGGCATGCGGATGTACATCAACATCAAGACGGTGCCAAAGACGCACCCGCTAGCAGCCCTCAAGGTGTCGGCGAGTCGAAGATACATGTCACCGTTGAAGAAGCTGGCGCTTGCGTATGAAGGCAACGGAACGGAGCGGATGGAAACGATTGAGGCCTATGCGGTACCACCGTGGTACAACCGGGTGCCGCTTGTATGCGAGGCCGATCGTGAAGCGGCGAAAATAGCTGCAAAGAACGTCAACGACATTGTCATCGCGACCAGTGCTTCCGACAGGGGAGGTCTAGTGGGTATGGGCGGCATCGTGGCCCAAAGATCGCCTGGTCAAACAGACAGGATAGTGGCCAGGTACTCGGCCACGCTCGGGTCACGAGACGATCAGAACCCGTACACCGCCGAGCTGGAGGCGATAGCGATGGCATTGCGATGCATGCCGGATGGGCTACAATGCCGAGAGCTTACGGTGCTGTCAAGTAGCCAGTCGTCACTCAAGGCGATTGCCCGACCGCAACAGCAATCAGGCCAGACCTCCATCCGTCAGATCTACGAGCACATCGAGCGACTGAGAAAGGGAAACAATAGAGTCAAGATGATCTGGGTACCATCCAGAGACGATGACCTCAGCATGAGTCGTGAAGCAAAGAGACAAGCCAAGAAGGCTACCAGAGCGGGATGCACGCCGCAATCGCTACCGTACCAGGCCCGCTCCACGCGGCTCAGGCTGGCAGTGTCGCAGCTGCATCAGCAACGGAAACTACCCAACAATGTAGGCAACTACTCCAAACGGATAGATCGGGCCCTACCAGGCAAACATACGCAAGCACTATACGACACTTGCAAGAGACGAGAAGCCGGAGTGCTCTCGCAGCTCCGCACGGGAATGGCGAAGATCAACAGCTACCTCAACAAGATCGGGGCCGCAGAGTCGGACATGTGTGAATGTGGATGTGGACCAGAGACAATGGAGCATTTTCTGTTCCGATGCACAAGATGGGAAGCAGAGCGTGAAGCCATGCGTCGAGTAGGACAAAACATGATGGGCAACCTTTCCTTCTTTCTAGGTGGAAAGTCGGCGTCAGACGGAGCAAAGTAGAGACCTAACCTGGAGGCGGTGCGAGCGACAGTCAAATTTGCGATGGCGACAGGAAGATTGAGCCAGGAAGAAGTTTGAGAAGGAGAAAACAAATGACTACTAATATTAACATCACAGCTGATTACTAACAACAAACAGCCTCAAGTTGACAGACCATGCTTCAGCTGCTGAAGATAGGATGCTGAACACTTGGAGATGGTATTGGTTGGCCTTCAAGCAGGTCTGTCAAGCAGAGTCAAGCAAACGGGGCTAGAAAAGTAAGAACAGGAAGAGCAGTAGGGCTTTCTTTTGTGTAGAATGGACGAAAAGCGGGGAATACGTGAATAGCTTAGCGTAGCCACAGGCCCTATGAGGTTCGTTCTCCCGGGCGTAATAAATACTACTACTACTACTACTCCTCCCTTGAATACTGCCCAAGCTCAAGCCTCTGCTCATCCATACGGGTTACATCTACACTTTTCAAAATACTCTCCCAGCCTACCAGCCTGTCATTATGGTCACCATCACTCTGAAAGTCTTGGCGGGTGTCGCCGCCTTTCTGGCTATTGCCAATGCATCGCCTGCCGAGGTTGTACCTTCTGATGAAAGCCATCCCATTCCACAGGAATTCATCGATGGAGTTCTTGCTTATTTCAAAGCTCACCCTTTAAATGGAACGGCCAAGAGAGACATGGGAAACGCTCTCCATAAGCGAGTTCCAGGCGAGCACGGCTGCGACCATGACGATCATTGGGTGTCGCGTATGTGTCTGAGCGATGTAGGTCCAAGGGAATACGAAGACGAGTGTCAGGATGAGGATGGAGAGGAATACCAAGCGGATGGAATTTGTCCAGAGCTTACGTACTGCTCCGAGGTCATCGAACGGGGACATGAGCACCAGATTCACGACATAATTTGTATGCCAGCCACGCCGCCAAGGGAAGACAATATAGGAACCAAGGGTCAATATGGCTATAGGACAGTTCAGGCAGTCAACCAGCGGGGAGTGACCGAGTTGGAAAAGTCTATTTCTCTGCAAGAAGACATCGCGGGCGCTAGTGTGTCTGGCCACGTCCGGAGTAAGTGTATTCCACTTCTACGAAATCCATGTCTACACTGACACAAATCAAGGCACCGATAGGACGTTTATTATCGACCCAGCTAACACGCTGACGGCTAATCTACACGGCTTCCAACTGAATGTCTGCAAGGAAGATAAAGGCGACAAGCACCATGATTCACGTATTTGCAAGCCTACCCGTCGAGTCAACTTGAAGAAAGGCAACACAATCGACTTTACATTCGGACTTTCGTATCAGCAGAGCGGCATTCTGTTCTATGGCATCTTGAGATCTTGAAACAGGTTCAAGTCGAGGCTTTGAGGTGGCCCACTTTCAACAAGGCAGCTACCATGCAGTACCCACCTGCCGTACGTACCCACCTACCGTACACCAAAAAAGATTTTCCCCATACAAAATGCCCAATTTCACTTATGATGAGAAAATGTCTACCCGTTGGCTCGAGCCGGGGGATGGCCAACTAAGCAAGCTTAGTTGGGCACAAAAAGGTGGGACAGCACAAAAGTGTGGGACAACCCCGCTCTGCCGGCTGTCGCGAATTTCATTGATTTTGTATGTGATTTTAACACAAATCTAGACGCCAATTCGTGAAAAGAAGAGAATTTTTGTCTAAGTGCATTATGCCGTCAGATCCTAACCTCAAAGCCGCCCGGGCAGTAGTTCTTTCACGGCAACGACTTCAAAAGGGCTTATCTCGTGATGCTTCTAACGGCCTAAAGAAGCCTCTTACTCTACGCGATGCTGAATGTCAATATCCCGGCTCTAAGAAGTCATCTATTGCGCGTATTGTCAAGCGGCTTGAAGAGGCCAATACTCTTGATTTTGAGCAGGTTCCTGAGCCAAATAAGGGCCGGCCGCGACTCCTCTCAGACGACGAAGAAGAGGCTATTGTGAGCTTTATTATTTGGATGCAGAAGTCCGGTCTTCCGGCCTCCAAACATGAGATTGAAGATGCAGCAAATACAATACGCAGCCGCCGTGATCCTGATGCTGTGCCGGTTGGAAGGATGTGGTACAGGCGATTCTGTGACGATCATCCTGAGCTTGATATCTCGATTTTGAAGGCGAAAGAAGCCACTCGCTTTGAGTATGAAGAAGCCGGCGTGGAGGAGACAAAACAGTGGTTTAAACGGCTCACTGAGGTTATCACGAGATATGGAATCGGCGCCTCAGAGTGTTGGAATGCTGATCAAGCAGGAATTAGAGTCGGAATACTGCGAGAGCGGGTGCAATGCCTCGTCGTACGTACCAAGAAGAAGACTGCAACAGAGGTATTCTCGCCGGAAGATAGGGAGACTTGTACGGTGATCGGTACGGGCAACGCCGCAGGAGCAACTACTCCTCCTTGGCTTATCTTCAAAGCTTTTCCAACGATCGAGTGGTCAGATATCGATGGTGATCCTAATATGCGCTTTGCACAGTCAGAAACGGCTTTTTCTAACGCCGAGATAACGCTTGAGTGGGCGAAGCACTTCAACCGGTGGTCTTGGGAGAAATCTGCTACTGTACAACATCGTCAGCTGGATTTTGAACAGTGGTTTGGGTGTAACGAGCACCTGAAAAGCGAATTCAACCCTATCACTCCATATGACACGCCTCCAGGCACGGAAGGAAAGGAGGAAGAAGAGCTCGTATGGCGGTTGCTCATAATCGACGGCTTTTCCGGCCACGGCTCCTTCGCCTTCAGAGAATATTGTATAAAATTCAATATCCTCGTTGCCTTCCTTCTTCCTCATTCAACGCATATGCTTCAACCGATGGACCTAGGCGTTTTTCAGTGGTTAAAGAATGCACACCAAAAAAGGCTGCGAGAAGCTTTGCGGAAGGGAAATCTGACGTTCAACCGCCGTGACTTTGCAGGCTCCTTCAAGGTATGTGTAATCAGCTTCAATATTCTCTAAAATACCTCTCTTTTTACATACTAATCCTCATGATATCAGGAGATCTTTGATGAAGGCTTTACGGCGGCCCACATCATCGCAGGCTTCGAGAAGTCAGGGATTTTCCCACCTACTGACAAGCCTGCAGTTAATTATCTCCTAAGGAAGAAGCTAAAGACTCGTAAAGCTATCGATCCGGCTTTATCTTCACTTCTCCCGGAGGAAAGTCGCTTTCCTTTGGCCTCTGATACGGCAAGAGATATCGGCAACCGCTATCACGATATTCTGAGCTCCCCAACGCTCAGGGGACTAGAATCGGTCCGGAAGATTGTCAATGAAGCTATCGTGCTTGAAGAGATTGTAAGGAATCACGTTGAAGATCGCCGAGCACGTATTGAGAAGAGATACCACCAAAGAAAGCGTGGAAAACGAGCGAGACCGGTAGGAGATTATATTCATAATGTGAGCTTGCAAGAGCTTCGAGATCAGCATACTGAGTTTGTTAAAGCAGGAGATAAGGCACAGCAGAGATCACAGCTTAGAAATCCTCGATCTTTTGCAATTCGGCAGATGGAGGAGATAAAGGCTGAGTGGCGAGCGAATAAGGAGGTTATTGTTAACGGCGTTACGAAGAAGATGCAGTTTAAACAGTGGCTTGAATACACCGGAAAGGATGTAGAATATGCCTCTTATGACTCCTCAAGAGCTGAGATGACTTCTCAACTTAAAAAAAAGGAGGATTTCTTTATGATCGATACCCAGCTCGCCCCGGAAGCCCGTGAGGCTATTCGCGAAGCCGGCTTTGCAGCAAAGCCCCTCTCGGCAGTAGATTTATCACAACTTCTCTGCAGCGATGATACTGTCGATTTTACCCTCACACAACCGCCGGCCGATGCTGATGAAGAAAGCGATATCGATTTATCTGATGAAGAGGATCTCGCGATGCCCTCATCGCCGCCCTGCCTCCCTGACTATGAGTCCCCTGTTCCAACGATGCCCTCAACACCATGCCCGCTTCAATACCAAGCCCGATTTGACGATGCCTTCATAAATCGCATGATAGAGGAAACGGAAGCCTTGGAGGCCATTTAGGCTCTTTAGGAGGAACAATAACCCCCTCCAAATTGCATGATAATTACATGAGAAGTTGTTCTCAATCAAGGAGCCGTTTGGGCGCCACAGCAGTCATTTCGCCCGGTCACATACAGTCAATAGCAAATATATCATCATAAGAAGCTTCAATTTCATAATTCCAGGAATTTTCACTTTTTCCGACCTATTAAGAGAGTTGAAAAACTGAAACTGCCGCAAAACGCACCAAAAATCAGACCCTTACAGTTGTCCCACACTTTTGTGCTGTCCCACCTTTTTGTGCCCAACTAAGCTTGCTTAGTTGGCCATCCCCCGGCTCGAGCCAACGGGTA